TAGAAGAAAGATTTTGAATTCAATTCTGGATTTGACAGGGAGCCAATGGAGAAGCTAAAACTGGAGAGATATGATCTCTCCCAATAACTCCAGTTAAGACTCTGGCAGCAGCACTTTGGATTAACTGAAGAAGTATTTGGACACCAGGTAATAAATCATTGCAATAGTCCAGTCTAGACGTGACAAATGCATGAACCAGCTTTTCTGCATCATTTTCAGATGTTTCTAATTTTATAGATATTACGCAGGTGGAAGATGGTGGTTCTAGCAACGTTTTTTAATTTGGGGGTTAAAAGACATGTCTTGATCAACAAATAACACCAAGATTTTTAACATTATAGCTGGAGGACAGATTAATGCCATCCAAGGAAGGCGTAAGACTGAAATATATATTCATAAGATGCCCAGGTCCCAAAACCAAAACCTCAGTCTTGTCTGTGTATTGTATATCTTGCGGACAACTGGAAACTGATTATATCGACCCCTGCAAAGCAAATATAGACCAGTGGCAAATTGTGGACATGAAAGAAAAAGAACACACAAAATAAGTTTTGACATGCTTTTTTTAATATAACTATTCAATTTACTAAAATAAAGTTTCACTTTAGGAAAAGTACAAGTTACCTTCCAGTAAATTTAGTATTATGCAGCTCCATTAGGGACAAAATAAAATAAAACAGAGACGGTACAATTCTTAAAGAAAATTCAGCTTTCACTCATCAGAGATGGCGTCACCGACCTTTAAACGATTACGCAGAAGAGGAACCATGGACAAAAACAGCAATAATGGTTAATTTTGTTAAACTAAAACTTAATAGTCTCTAGGTGTGAGTGAGAGAGTGAATGGTTGTTTGTCTCTATGTGTCCCTGTGATGGACTGGAGACCAGTCCAGGGTGTCCCCCGCCCCTCGCACAGTGATGGCTGGACATGGGCACCAGTGACCCCCGCAAACCGAAAAGGAAGAAACTGGTAAAAGATGACGGATGGATTACACAATCTTTTCATGGCTGCAGCCATCATTTCTCTTCATGTGATATTTATTTTCATTTACATAACGTAGACTTGTTCAAAGTATACATTTGAAAACACAAACTAAAATGTATTAAAATTTATTTTTTCTGGCTTTCGTGTTTTGTTTGTTTTACAAAACTTGCACGAGTTTAACAGAACCAAACTGCTGAGGTTTTAGTTTTGTTTCTTATTTTTCAACAAATAAAAAAATATATATTAAAATAAGTTTTATTTCTAAATAAAGAATACTGATTTGATTTGTAAAATTCAAAAACCTACATTTATAATTTAAACTTTTGCGTGCTCCCATCACCAGTACAAAAGAAAATATTCATGAAATCAAATATCTGTAAATAGTGAAATGACTCTTAACTTGATTGAAATTGTCTCAAGGTGCAAGAACAAATTACTACAACCAAAGCTTTTATAAAAAGTCAGCCACATTCTCACATGGTAAATAATTATCACACCAGATGGATGTTTATAATGCACAACATTTAAAGGAATTACTTACAAAGTCAACTTTGTTTTTCTAAAACAATGTTAAAAATGGAAATTCAAAAAAACAAGTTCACTTCAAACACAACCACAGATCAAATGAATCATTTGGCTACAAAAGCTTTTTTAGACCCTTCATTAGAAGGAAAGTGCATTAAAGATTATCTATATTTACAAAATTACTGTATAGTGTTCATAAATATATTTGCTCCCAGCTATTTGTTTTTAAATATAACATTATTTACAATTTCAACAAAAGGGCCAGGCAATGCAGAAACCGCCTGTGAATTAAACAAAAATATGTTAACATGTTATTTATAGATACTTACAGTTATTCAAAGTAGGAAAACGTTTAGTCACTGGAGAAGCTCGCTCTGACGAACTGTTTTTAGGAAAAAGCGTGTCGACTCGAGTTTTGTCCTCGCCCGCGTCAAACGAAAAATTACTTTTCAACAGGAGACGGAATCAGACATTTAAAGATGTTAACGAGACAAAACAAATTAAACATTTCCACAGAAAATCCCCAAATCTGCCTCTAGAAAGCTCTGCACACAGAGGTAATAAAAAGTTTCATACTATGCCTTAAAAACAAAAAATCACAAAATAGAAAAATGAATCCCAAACCTTCCAGAGAAAGTTGAAATTCTGACTAAACACAAAATAATTTAGCTTAGAACAGTGACCGCTCCCACTGAAGGAGGCAGTGTAATAGAACATCACCAAACCGCTGGAGTGCTTCAAACATGACGACGACCGTCCTTTAAACTAATCTTGTTTTGGAATTCGGTATTAAAAACGTAATCCATATAAACCGAGTTCATAACATGAATTTTCAACATTAAAATCACCTGCTGGAAATAATTAAATTCATAGTAAGAGGAGCTACAACTTGTAAGAAGTGCAATGGCATCCACAGTCCCGTACTTGTCTACAGTAGTCCCTCGCTACTTCGCGGTTCGACTTACGCGGACTTGCTCTGTCACGTTTTTTTATTTTATTTTTTACAGTTGTCAACTTTAATATTACGTGATTGGGATGGTACAGATAAAACGTTAACAAAATAAAAACTTCGGACAGGCGCCGCCAATTTGTAGTTTTCTTTCAATAAGCCTGCACTGTATCGTCAGTCCAAAGAACTACATTACCCAGAAGCCAACAGTGCTCCGATCCGAACTTGACTAAAAAGTTCAGTCCTTATTCATAGTGACTTGTGTGGGTTTGTGCCGACTCTCCGAAGGTCCAGCTCTCTCCTAAAGTGTCTGATGCTCAACGGCTGCAGAAAGTCGACCAGAACCGGACCAGAACCGGACCAAAGCTAGCGAGTACGCATATAAAATTTTGGAGTAGCTACTGTATGTTGTTAAAATTATGTAGGTTTAAAAGTTTAGAACATTGCAAGAGTGTGGGAAGGGTTTATAAAGCCTTAAAATATATATAAATACTTGGCAGATTTCACTTATTGCGGCCGTGTTCAGAACGTAACCCCCGCGATAATCGAGGGACTACTGTACTCTGAAATAAGTACGTAAATGTAAGTACTTGTAATCACTTTAAAAAAAAACAAAAACAATGTGGTATCTGTGCACCCCTACTGAATACCTCTGAAAAATCAGTTAAGCATCTGAAGGGCTCAGAGGAGAAATTTGTTAAGTAATTAATGTCACAATCATTCTAAGGGAATAATTAAAACTAAAATATTATACATGGACCAGCGAGGTTGTGTTACGATAAAATATTAAAAGAAATGTTTAGATTAAAATGAAAGAGATGTAGATTTCTTCATGCGTTCTGGGAGGACACAAACGCACTCACTCACAAACCTCAACGGGGCTTCACCACGTGGGCATCATGTCTGGGAACCAGACCCGACCCAGATGCTTCGACACCTCCCAGTGGATGTCGTCCAGCTCGTAACGGTGATCTGGAATCAGCACTTCCTCCATGATGGACAGCTGCGTCAGTCTGTCTCCGCACATCTTCACGAACTCCACGAAGGCGCTGCAGGACACCTCGCACTCCCCCAGGCCGATGGCGGACAGCTGCGTGCAGCGCTGGGCGATGCGGATGAGCTCCTCGTCCAGCGGTCGCAGCCCGTTGGCGCACACGACCAGCTCCACCAGACGCGGGCAGTGAAGCCCCACGCGGCCCAGCACGTCCTTACTGACGGAGCGGCCGAAGTACAGATGCGTAACGGGGATCTCGTCGCGGAAGAACGGGTCGAACTCTTCCTCGTAGAGAAAGAAGTACATGACCAGGCTGAATTTGGGGGAGTGGCGAACCATGGCGTCCCAGCTGCTCTTCTTGATGGTGTGGAACTGCTGGCCGGGGTTCTCGCTCATCACGTCGATGCGAAGGTGCTCAAGGTGGACGTGCCTCTCGGAGGACAGCGCGATGAGGAGCTCGTCGCTCAGCAAATGGTAGTTGAGCGCCAGTTCTCTGAGGCCGTGGCACTGATCAGCCACGCACATGATGCCTGGAAACAAGAGAAAGGGCTTCAGACAAAACTCCTGAGACTTCAGAGAATCCGGCTTCACTTACGGTAACTCGACATGCCAGCTGTACGGGACAGACTCATCTGTATGATGCCCAGATATATCAAATTCCCTAAACCGTGGCTGAAACACTCCGTCGAGGCGGAGCAACGTTTCTTGACATCAACTTTGATGTCTGCCCGCTTTATTTTATTTCAGGCAATCTTGATGCGTTAACGTTTGACACTTTCTGCCACTCCATGTTTTTCTCCTTTCATTACTAACCTCTGAGAAATGGCTACCAAAAAATGTTACCGCTTGCCTCCACCTCTGACATTAGTACATTAACTAATTCAGTCAATTTCCTCTTTTATTGCCTTACTATGATTTGGACACAGGGTAAATGTATATATGTATTTATGGGTGAGGACAGGGCGGTCCTAGAAGCACATATATTAGAAGGTTTGAAGGCACACTTTCAAACACCTTAATATTTTTGTCTGGACGCCAACTTTCAGCATGAACACTGTGCACTCCCTCGTACATCAGGCCCCTGCAGCGCTCACTGTGGATCTCTCTGTCTCTTTCTTTCTGTCACTTTACTATCTGCTGCGTTTGTGGCTTTATTGCAGTGAGGACGACATGTTCTGATGCTTCCCCCAACTGAATGGGTGTGTTCTTTGTGCCAGTGTGTAATTAACGAGCTTTGGAGGAGCAGTGCACAAACATGTGCCAGTCTGACGGTGAGTGTATTTAACTGAAATGGAGTTGAACTGAAGTGAATTGGACTATTTGTAAATGATTTAAATTTGTCTGTACAGCGTCAGGACATGAACTTAAACAAGTTAAATGAGCTAAACAAGTAAATGTTACTTAATTTAACTGAGATCAACTTCAAACGTGGAGATATTTTTGATCTACATTGTATTCAATTGTTTTTCAGAAGAAAAAAATCTATCTCTCTCTATATATATATATATATATATATATATATCTCGTCCATCCATCCATCCATCCATCCATCCATCCAACCAACCAACCAACAAAAGAACAACTAGTTATTACTTAATATTATCCATAATCTACCTGCAGGTGAAACATGAGGGCAGCTGCTCATTTTCAGCAGCTTGAGCGTGTCGCTGTTGTTCGCCACCAGGACTTTGAGTGAGGGGTCGTCCACCGGCGTGTCATCGATCTTCAGGGAGGACAGGGACTTGGAGTTGACAAAAACCACCGTCAGAGCAGAGATGAAGTGAGACTGTCCAACGAGAAGCAAGAGAGGGAAACATTTCGTGCAACCGTTACAGCTTTTATTTCCCTTTATGTTAAACGAGAAGGGCAAAGGAAAAGAAGAGGAGAATGAAGGCTGCACAAGCTGAGGCTGTTTAATTCTGTGTCCGTCAAAGATCAGACCTTTAAACGGACAAGTGGTCTCACCTTGGGCATCTCCATGAAGCTGGGTCTGGCTGTGGAGATGAGTCCCAGAGTTTTTAAAGAACAGTTCACGAGCTGAGAGAGGATGTCGCACGCTGCCTCTGCGGACTCTCTGCTGCTGTCCACCTGCACGCCAACAAGACAAAACTCACACCCTGTTCTTTTCCTTCAGCGGGTGTTAAAACTCCAGACTCCTCTCCGACGTACCTTGAAGCTGACGTACTGTAGGTGGTTGGAGTGCCTTTTGATGATCTGCTTGATGAGGTCTGGGTGCGTGGCCTTCAGGTAGGAGCTGGCCGGCTGGTTCAGCTCAAACTCGAAGCAGCGCCACAGCTCGGGCATGTGGAAGGCCTGGTTCCATCCTCTGCACACCTGCAGAGACACCAGAACCAACTCAGAATCAGATCATTTGGACCTACTGAGCAGTGAATGATCACTTTATACCATTTTTTAGCCATGAAAAACAGACAATAATGCAACTGCTTTTGTCTGTTAGCACAATATTGCATGAATCACTGGACGTAGTTTAATGAAAGTCTCAGAAAGTAATCCTCAGGTGGACATCTACAACCTGTTTCAAGATGGCTGCCACAATCAACCTTAGCAAGCACAAATGTGGTTATTACATCAGTTATTTGAACAGATATTGAGCTAAAATTCAGTGTGGTAGTAGCTGAGAGTCATCCCCGACATACAACTGTGGCATGCAAGGCAGCAGGAAATCATTCTTCCTCCAATAAATGCTACTTTCCCTAAATACATAGTTTTTCTTAAAGTTTGCAAATTTGAGCCTTGTGTTCATGCTTGTCTATTTTGACCATTTCAGCTTTTTAAACTGTATAATGTGATTTACCTCTACGTGTCCTCAGCTGTAATTTAGAGTAAATAATTCAAATGTACACAAGCAAAGTAACAAATTAGCTTAGTGTGTATTGTGTGACTACAATAAATCATCTCGGGACATCTTAAGGGACGTCTGAGGCACAATAAATACTAGGAAATAGTTAGCTATTAATAAATATTTCAAGAAAAAAAAGGTTGTGCCGGCTTTACAACGCTTCCTACTCATCTTAAAAAGTCATATTTTAAGCTCATTTTCAGTGATAGGTTATGATTTATTTTAAACTCAAAGTAACCCAGGTGGAAACAAATAAACAGATGACTCTGTTTGGTGAAGGATTGTTTATGATTTTACTCAGTGAGTATTAATTGTTTCAATAAAAAGTCTGCCTCAACGCTGCGCTGAGGTAAATATTTAGTGCAGCAATAAAATAAATATTATTACTGCTGTTATCTGTGTACCTGTGAGGCGAACGCCCTGTCCAGCAGAGGTAGGTACTGGAAAATGTGAAGCAGGATCTCCTGAGGTAAACACTCCCAGCTGACTCCCTCCTCTTCCTCTCTCCTCTGCTTGCTCGTCAACTTTTGAGTCTTCTGAGCCCCGGTGCTGGGGCCTCCCCCGTCCTCCAGCTCGTTCTCCTGGAGACCTCGTTTCATCCTGCAACAACACAAGGTTCATCTCTAACTCTTTAACCCCCGAGAGGAAAAAATCCACACAGAAAAACATTAAAATGTTCACAGTTCAATTTAAAATCTACTTCAGCAAACCTGTTTTTCTCTAAAGTTTTTAGCTATTGTTTTATTAGCTCTTAGCTACAATTTTGTCCATTTTAGTTATTTGCTACTCTTTTTGGCTTGGCTACGTTTTCGCTATAATTAACTTTTGGTTATTGTTTTGCTATGCTTAGCTTTTACTTGTTTTTGTTAATTTTAGATTTTTACTACTCTTGTTGATTTTACCTTTTGGCTATTGTTTGGCTAATATCAGCTTAAGTTAATGTCTTGCTTTATTTAGCTTTGAGCTAGGTTTTGCTTGTTTAGCTTTTAGCCACTGTTTTGTTTGTTTTAGCTTTACTTTTGCTCATTTTAGACTTTTGCTATGCTTTAGTCTATTGTTTTTCTGATATTAGCTTTTAGCTAGTGTTTTGTTCATTTTAGCTTTAGTTTACTTACTTTTACCTTGTAGCTAGTTTTGTTCATTTCAGCTTGTTATTGTTTTACTAAATTTAACATTTAGCTTTTATTTTTCTTTAGCTTTTAGCTAATTTTTGAATGATATTAACTTTTAGCTATTATCAGACTGATTAACTTTTAGTTATTGTTTTTCTGATATTAGCTTTTAGCTATTGTATGACTGATATTAGCTTTTAGCTATTGTTGCTATGTTTAGATTTTAGCTACAATTTGATCATTTTAGATTCTAGCTACAGTTTTGCTATTTTTTGCTGCTGTTTACTAATTTTATTTATTTTAGCCGTTTGTTGATTAGGTTTTACTTGTTTTGCAACTTTTCGCTTTAGTTTTTCTCATTTTTGTTTTCTTTTTGCTAACTTCAGCTAAGCAGCAATAATTAGCTAAAACTAGCTTTTACCTAATGTTTTTCTAGCTTTTAGCTATTTTTTAAAATCTTCTGATGTCCTTCTAGCTCCTCGCTTATCTTCAGCTGATAAGAAGTAAACACTTCCTACACACATGTGGTAAACCTCAAGGTTGAAAGTTATTTATTACTCGATAAAAATTATTAAAATTTGATCAGCCTAAATGTCCAGATGCTAACGTGTAAACACAAAACATTAGCCGCCTAACCCAAACAAACGCACACCTAGCTAGCTAATATGTTAGCTGGTTGTAACAGAGTAATAACATACGAAATGTTTATTTTAAATCGATTCTTACCTGGCTTTCAGCTCCTCGGTTGGCTGTTTATTTATTTAGAGGTGGCGGTAATTCAACCCGGACCGACACAAGAAGAAAACTGTGTTGGAGCTGGCCGACCGATCAAGCACATTGGACCATACGACGGCACCGAGTGACCGGGAGTCAGCAAACACTCACTGCAGGCTGTCAAAGTGAAGGGTCCGTGGCTGTCTGGAGCTTTTAAAGGCGTCTGTCCTAAATTCGGTTCACAACTACTCTGCCCCGGTAGGAGGGTGCCAGTTAAAGATGGCGTTCGTGTTTTCAATCAGGAATGGATCAGCAGACTGCAGTTATAGAGAACGGCCGGCAGGGGGCCAATTTAATTTGTGAGCAGACTGCAGTTACAAAAAACGTCGATAGGGGGAGGTGATTTGTTTATAGAGGCTGCAGCTACAAATAATGGCCAGTAGGGGGGCTATTTCATCTATGAGTATGATGCAGTTACAGATAATGGCCA